TTGTGCAGACTACAAGACTTTCAGTTTCAGCAGATTGCCGTGCTGTTCAGACTACACAACTTTCTGTCTTGTGACGAGAGTCTTGAAGTTGTTGTGGTGTTCACACTATGTGAGCTGACAACGACTCCGTCCCCCAATGGCTGGTCAAATCATACAAAACACAGAGATATGATTTAACGTCACCAACTATAAGTGGAATAATTGGTTAGTTACATTTGAGATCTAAACAATCCAGTTGACTGTACATGGGAAATTCTAGTTTGTTGTCACTGATTCACACGATTCATCAGAAGCCCAATTTAAGGGTGATTTTATGTGGGTGGGGATTACGTGTACGCCGAATTGTAGAGCTGCCCTTCATTAGAGACTTTATGCGGTCTGCGTCTGACGACAATGCACCAGAAGGTTACGCTGTCGAACTCTGCATGCGTGCGCGCGCACACACACACACACACACACACACACCTGTGACCCGAGAGAGGGCAGTAAAAAACGGGAGGGTTATGAAGTCTGGTATGTTAGGAGGAGAAGTGATTAGGCTGTTTTTATTATTATTTAAGTCATGTAATTGACATGACAAATGACCAGAGATGGGGACTCGAGTTAGAAACTCGGACTCGAGTGCGACTTAAGCACACACAGTGACTTCAGACTCGACTTGAGACTCGTCCTCAAAAGACTTCAGACTCAACTCTGTCTCGAGGTGCGGGACTCATGAACAATGTTTATTTTTTAGGAAACTGAGTGTGCTGTTATTCCTTCACTCTGTTACTTATAACCTGCCTACATAACACATAGTATCAGCTGCGCGCGGCCACAAGTGCCAGAGGACAACAAACACCGGCAGCTGCTGAGCCATTCATCATAAACTTTGGCTTTAAAACTTCATACAACAAGGCCCAAAACAGGTTAGTAACCTGTGGTTAGTAAACATGTTTAGCTCAGCATTGGCCATCTAACGTTAGCTTGCTTCTTGTTTTAGCTACGACCTACGGGAGGTTAACTCCGACTGTCGTTCGTTATGAAAAGATGAATGAGCGTTTGTTTGCTTGCCAAACTTGTGGTAGTCGATTGACGTAATCATTCACGTCCCGCTGGCTGCCATCACGTTAATTAATTATTGCCGTTGGCTGGAAAGAGGTTACAGGTTTATTGTTGATCATGTAGCCTTACATTTTTATTTAGTTATAACATTACACTGGTTTGAGAGTCTGCAGGGTGTGTTGACTTACAGTAGTTTAAGCTGTCAGTGATTGCATTGCACATTGTGCTCTGCAAGTTAAAAACAAAAAGTTACAGCTTTATTGTTGACCATTTGACTTTACAGTTTTAATCAGTTAACTTTAGATAGGTTTGTTGACTTACAGTAGTTTATAAGTTGCCATTAATTGTATGCGCTTTGTACATTAGGCTGCATTGTTGTGCTCTGTTAAGTTAAAAACAGACAGGTTTATTGTTGATTATGCAACGTCACAGTTTTATTTAGTTAACGTTACACTGGGTTTATGAGTCTGGGGAGTAAGTTGACTTACAGTATTTAATAAGCTGTCAATTGCATTGCACATTACATGGTTGAGCTCTGTAAATGAAAAGCAGGTTACAGAATCCATAGCTAATTCCTTATAGCTATGAAGTTTTATAAGCAGCTTGGATTGAACGCAGCAGCTGATACAACATTCGTAATAACCACGAGAGACTTGACTTGGACTCCAGCTCAAAGACTTGTGAACATCTCTTTAAATAACCAACTCACCGTGAACAGCTACCAGGAACTACTCTCCATAGCTCTGGTAGACTCCGATCAGCTAATGTTTTGCTCTGTGGTGCTGCAGTGTTGTTAAAAGGGAAGCTGCAGAGCAGACCCTCTGGTGGGCAAACTATGCAACACTAATGACATCAGGGAAGGATCCGACTCAGTTTCTTTTTTAAATAGTCTTATTGGCTGTTAGAAATGCCGTTGCAGATTTATCTGCAAGTAGCTTATATCTGCAAAACAAAAAAAATCAGTTGGGCTCTACACGTAAAGTACAGGGGCTAACGTACGTTACTACAGCAGTCAAGTTTAACTTATCTAGTGTCACAACAACGGGCTAATCATTCAATTCAGCTTGAAGGTACTCTGTAAGTCAACGACTTAGTAGCTAATGCCAGACCATAACATATCTGTGTGGCTCACAATAAAATATCCTGCTTGTCTTTTGCTGTGTGAAGTTAAGTATCAACTACAATAAGCGCTGTGTCCAATCATGTCATCACTAGGGCTGGCCCGAATGTCATTTTTTGAGCTTCTAAGCTTCAAATAGTAACTAACAGCGAATAATCGAAGCCTCATCGGTGCATGTGAGAGGGGAGGGGTCGCAGTTGCGTTACACTGATTGTTTATACGTCTGATAAGCAGGCTGTCATTTCACGAGCTACAGCTGTGTATTTAATAGATAGTAGAGGAACAGCAGAAGACGGAGGAATGCTAATGAAGTTCTGGCAATGACATGAGTGAGAGAATCAGATGTGTGGGGGGGGGAATAACGGCAGGAATGGGTGTGTAAGTCTGTGTGTGTGGGGGAAAAAGAAAAAGAGCACTCCCTTATTTTATTATCATAGTGTAGGCTAGCTAAATCAGCAAGTTGTTATTACCAATACTTTTAAATTTGTTACAGCTAACCTAGTAGACCAAGGTGCAGGACAGAGAGGGAAGAGTTAGATAAAAGAGGAACATTTATTGTGAAGTGGAAAGGATTGAAGATTGAGCTGGGGAAGAGCAAGGCAGACTGGAAGACTAGATGCTGTAGAACCTGGTTGGAGGCTTTTTATTTGTCCATGCATTCAGTACACCAATATCTCCAATAGCTAACATAGTACAACAAAACTGGTGGGAGGTTTTGTTTTTTTCCTGTTTAAAAACCAAAATGGAAAAATGATAAAACAGTAAACAAAAAAAACAGACATCAGTTTTTAACAGAAAAAAAATTTAGTAAGACCATGGTTGGGGTGAAAGGAGGGCCAGAACCTTTGAATCAGGAGACAGTTGTGTTTGCGTCCCGTGTGAAACAAAAAGTCAATATTATGCTACATATTTTTATATTTAATTTTATATAAGGCCATTTCTTTTCAGGTCGCATCGCATCTCACATCAGCTGTGGTGAATATGATTGTAGAAGTGCGCACTATATTACAGTCATATATGAAAAAAGAAATTAAAGAAAATGTAGGCTACTTGTTTTGTAAGATTGGGTCAAGCTGGGTTCAAACTCACTAGAGCAAAAAAAAACTCCTTGTTGCGGCACATTGCTTTGCCTAGGAGCCAGTCAAACACTCAAAATTATCCAGTTTCTAGATTAAGTTCATCAGCAACAAGGACGCATTTTGTTTTGGGCTGATCTGAAGCAGCTGGTTACCTGAGTGATCTAAATTCTTCCATCTCACAAAGAAAATAAAGGTCAGGTCGAAACAGTGTAGAGAGGCTGAAGGGAAATTACTTGAACATTTTAATCCGTGTACGATTCGTTAATATACAGTTCGCCAAATTAACTAATAACAATTCATGTTTGATGTACCATTGGATGTACTGGCAACTACCACTGAATTGATTTGATACTGAAGAAATCTTAAAAAACAGGATTCTCAGGAAAACATTCCTGTTCCAGTTGCTAGTGAGTTTCAAACTGAACGTTGAGCCAATGTTATATAGCTGCAGCCTCCAGTACTGCAGCTATATAACATTGTCCTGTTTTTCTAAAAACCCTCTCATGTTGATGTTCAGGCTCATCTTCATTACATTTAATCAGGCACCGCCATCACCCAAGTATCTCTGCTGCAGGTTTATCAAGTTTACACAAAGCTACACAAATCGACTCATTACATAGCCTATCAAAATCAATATTTTCTCGTTTTGGTTTTAAAACAGAAAAGCCAATCGGTTTTGAAACTAAATAATAAAAATAACCATACACGGATTCGCTAGGCGCCTTATTTGAATGTTGAATTTATCAGACTGAATATCCACAAAATTACTTAAGTCAACTAACATTACTAAAATGCACAAAGTGCAGCCAGTAAGACTTCAGTGTTAACTGACAGATAGGGGGAGTTTGGAAAAACATTGTCTGGAATTGAATCAGAGGTGGTAGTGACCTAACGCTAACGTTATACTATTCTATTAGGAATAAAGCATGGCTGGTTAGGAGGCCTCAGTGCAGGATGTAAAGTATGAAGTTAGCAGGCTAGCCCAGATCATTGGTTATAATGCATACACCTATATGAACATAAACACGAATTAAAAAGTCAAGGCAGCTAATCGCACATTCCCTCTAACGTTACAGCGTTCTCTTTGACCCAAGACCACGGCTTGGTTACATCATTAAAGCCTCATGTCTAAGGTCACTTTAGAATTTCATTAAACCCACTGATTGTCGCTTTATACCAAAACATAAGGCAACACATCACACCGCTTTAAATGCTACCAAATGCACCAATGAGGGCTTGTGCCAGACTGACGCAGGGTTAAAGGACATTTTAAGCCAAAGAGTGCTTATGACTTGCGTGGGCCTCAGACCTTTACGTTAGCTTGCTAGCCAGCCTGTCGAAAATTATAGACTGCATTCTTCTACTGCTGACAACCGCATTTGTTACCATTTAAAACACATGTCCCTGTTATTAGTACGTGCATAGGCACCGCACGAGAGAAGGAATTTGGGTAATGTAAATTACAGAAAAGGGAAAGAGACTAGCTGCAGTGTGCTGATTGTGTTAGAGAGAGATGAACAGGCTAACGCTAGTTGTTCAATGACAAGGGATTACTGCACTCAGTCGGTGACACAATAAACTGTAGACGGCTTGCAGAGACCTATGGAAATGTCAATGAATTGGTTTTTATACACCGCGTGTGTTGAAACCCTATGAGTGAAAGTGAACCAAGTCACGCTGTGTGAACATGATGCAGATGGTATTTCCCCTTAGTTGCTAAATGTTCTCTTTCCTCTCCAGCGTTTTAGTTTACTTACAGTACTGTAGGGTTCTCGGTGCCGCCACGATGAGAACAATAATGACAAGTAAGGTTTTTCAAACGTGTCCTTGTAGAAAGTCAGTCTCTCCTCCCCACGTGTTGACCGAGTAACACCAGCCTAAAGAAACAGACTAAACAGCTGGTCAAATCTCGCGATACTCAGACGGTCAAGTCGTGTGTAGTCTCGCGTCATCTGAGAATGCAGTCAAAGCACCTATTCCACACGAGTACGGAGTGAAATTAGACTGGAACTGGTCACAAACAAATGTGTATTACATGATGTCCAAATGAAAAATAAGATTTACAAATGTGTACAACGACTTGTGTCTAAAACTATTATTGGCATTCTTTTGTATTTATTTACATATTGGTAAATGTACACGTGCACAGAATGCCTGATATGCACAGATCAGGTCATATTTGCTGTAAATAATTACAAGAGATGATCTGATCAGATCTGTAAAACTGAGGTAAAAAATCTGAACATTCAAGTTGTGATAAAACTGAACATGTATGACTGAGGGTGACCACATTCCGTCTCAACGACCATTTATTAATTATTTTTGTTGAAGTCACCTGCCTGTCATTAGGAAAAACACAACAGTAGGTAGATCATGATCTTTTCCCTAATTTTTATTTTATTTTATTCATTTCATCAGTGCGGTGTCTGTCACATCTGTCAGATCTCTCCGCCATGGCTGCCTGAAGCTACACTTTCCCTATCCTCGCGACTATAACTTTCACTAACCACAAAAAGGGGAAAAGAGCACGATTGGTACTTTGTGGCTATAACAAGACTGTTGACATAATGTACAGATAATCTGCAACCCATGGAGCAAGAGAACTATACAACGATCAGTATTTAATGATTAATTACTATTTAATTTTTTTTAATTTGTAAAGGCCCATTTGTGAAGGCCTGCACAATCAGAATCAGAAATACTTTATTGATCCCCGAGAGAAATTCTTTTGTCACAATTGCACTTGTCAAAGGTAGATAGCTAAAGAGTATATAAATATAAAAAATAAAGACAAATCTAAAGGTGTGTGGGTATGTACAATATTTACATTATTAAGAATTATTATGGTGAACCAAAAAGTACTAGTGAATAAATAGCAGCAGAGAATATTGCACATTAATTATTAGACAGGTAATATTGCACAGAAAAAAGATAATAAGGTCTAGTTTGATAACTGACTAAGTGTCAGACACTTAGAGGGAGGAGTTATAAAGTTTGATGACTTCCTGTGTCGCTCTGTGGTGCATTTTGGGGGAATGAGTCTTGCACTGAAAGTGCTCCTGTGTTTGAGCAGCATGTCATGAAGTGGGTGGGAGACATTGTCCAAGATGACATGTAGCTTAGACAGCATCCTCCTCTCTGACACCACCATCAGAGAGTCCAGCTCCAACGTCACTGGCCTTGCGGATCAGTTTGTTGAGCCTGTTGGCGTCCACTACCCTCAGCCTGCTGGCCCAGCATGCAACAGCAAACAGGATAGCACTGGCCACCACAGACTCATAAAACATCCTCAGCATCGTCCTGCAGATGTTGAAGGACCTCAGCCTCCTCATTAAATAGAGACGGCTTTGGCCCTTCCTGTAGAGGGCTTGAGTGTTCTCCAGTCCAGTTTATTGTCCAAGTGCACTCCCAGGTATTTGTAATCCTCCACAATGTCCACACTGACCCCCTGGATGGGAACAGGGCTCACTGGTGCCTTGGCTCTCCTTAGATCCACAACCAGCTCCTTAGTCTTTGTCACATTGAGCTGTATATGGTTCTGCTCGCACCAGTACCCCATCATAGCTCTGTACTCAGCCTCGTCACCCTGTTGATACATCTAACCACAGCAGAGGTTCTGCTCTGTGTGGTAGTTGAAGTCTGTGGTGTAGATGGTGAAGAGAGAGAGAGAGAGGACAGTCCCCCGCAGGGCCCGGTGTTTCTGACCAGGCTGTCTGACACACAGTGTTGCAGTCGCACATACTGTGGTCTGCCTGTCAGGTAGTCAACGATCAAGGACACGAGGGGGGTATCCACCTGCATCACTGTCAGCTTCTCACCCAGCAGGGCAGGCCGGATGGTGTTGAGGGCACTGGAGACGTCAAAAAACATGACCCTCACAGTGCTCGCCGAAAAAGAAAGTTAAAAGTCAATGAAAAGACAATGAAACTATTAGTAAGATATGAATAATAATTTCGCAGACCTTTCACCTGATGACCTCATCTGTGACAACCCCTCCCCTTCAGACACTATGGGCCTTTCTCATATCCCCAATTTTTGCCTCCTCGATCCTCAAGCGTGTGACCCAGAAATCGATCTCAGCTCGCCATCTTAAAGGACATCGCAATTCTTAAAATGCGTATCGAGGAGTGAGGATCGAGGAGGCTTGCTGGAGGAGCTATAAGCGATGTATGTATACATCGGTGTATTCTTTGCGGAAGTCTTTTCAGCCGCTGTGATGTTTACAAGAGGCGTGACAAGCAGCTGGACCAATCCATAGCCGGAGCAGGACGCTGCAGTGTTCCTGTTGTTTTCATAAGTTGTATCAGTTAAGCCTATTAAAAAGAATCAAATGCGCGATCAAACTTTCTGCCCTTCACCGTTTGTTCCTTAATGTCATTTCACTTTGATATCACTGATGTTATTGTTCAATGTGATGTGTGGATGGGCAGCAGGATTGTAAAAATGAACATTAAATAGCGTCTGGATGAAGCGACTCCTCAGTGACACTGTGCACATTTACGCACTAGCCACAAATTAATAATAATAAATCTCCTGACACGCCGACTAGATAGGTCAGGATCTTTATGTTAATTCATGTTCTGTGTTCTTCTACACATCCAAAAGGTCTCACACAGAGTCCAGGTTCATACAGTAAAAGTGTTTGGAGTAAAGCAGCCGTCCTCCTGATCAACCCTGAGCTCCATCAGAGTCTAAATGTGGATTATAGAAGTTTAATTCTGTTTCCTCTCTCTGTTTTGTCCTATGATATTTGCTGTGACATTACTGCACGGATGGAAACGTTTAAATGACTGACAGCGGCTGTTTTAATCATCAAATAAATCATTAAAGAAAACACTCATACATCAATATAACACACAAGAAAGAAATCACCTGGAAAGCTACAGGGACCGGTGGAGGTGGGGGTAAAACGTCCATGCAGATGCTGGTCTCTAAATCTGATAAAATAATTAGTTGGTGGGGGGCAGGTGAATGATTTATGCGTATAGGCCTATGAGTATTCTGTTAATGTCTGAGCCGATACTCGAGTCACACCAATTCAGCTGCAATAATCGTGACAGAACAGCTGCTGAAGTCAAATTATTAGGCTGTAATATCAAGCAGAGCATTCAGCACTGATCTATGTTTTAATAATAGTGCCCATGTAGTCTGCACGTCATTCCAACAGTAGAGTCTTGTGATGACAGTTTTGTCGAGGTGGTGTCCAGCAAACGATGTGGGCTTTGTAGATCAATGGCAGACTTTCTGGGGAAGACCTGGTCTGATTTGGAGAGACGGCATCCATCCCACTTGGGAAGGAGCAGCTCTCATTTCTAGAAATCTGGCCACGTTTATTAGTGGACCAAATCCATGACAACCCAGAGTTGAGACCAGGAGGCAGAGTCGCAGTCTAACACACTTCTCTGCCCTTCTTTTTCAGCAGTTACCCACCCAAAACCCTACGCAGAGTCGCAGTCTAACACACTTCTCTGCTCCTCCATTTCAGGAGTTACTTAGTGAAAACCCCATAGTGACGGTGTCTGTCCCCCGACCATCGAAATTATTTAAATCAAAGGCAAAGAGAAGTGGAGCTGTGCATAAAAAAAAAAAGAATGTTAGCCTAAATGAATCCACCCCTCCCAGTCATATTAATACTCACATTCCTCGAGGCACAGGCCGAGGAGGTGGAGTTGCAGCTATCTTCAACTCTAGCCTACTAATCAGCTCTAAACCTAAACTAAACTATAACTCATTAGAAAGCCTTGTTCTTAGTCTTTCACACACAAGTTGGAAATCACTGCAACCAACTCTTTTTGTTATAGTGTACCGAGCACCTGGTCCGTACTCTGAATTCTTATTTGAATTTGCAGAGTTTTTGTCAACTTTAGTCCTTAAAACGGACAAAGTTATTATTGTAGGGGATTTTAATATTCATGTGGACGTTGAGAATGACAGCTTTAGTACTGCGTTTATCTCTAATAGTGTTCCCACAGAATCCCTCTTTATCTGACCACTGTTTGATAACTTTTGAGTTTGTATTGCTGAACTACACGCCATTGGGCAAACATTTCTATACAAGATGTCTGTCTGATAGTCCTGTAGCTAAATTTAAGGATGCGATTCCATCAGCTCTAAATACATTATCTAGTCACAAAGTAACGGAGGACTCCTATGCTAATTTCAGTCCCTCCCAAATCGATCATCTTGTTGATAGTGTAGCAGGCTCGCTGCAAATGACACTCGACTCTGTAGCCCCTCTAAAAAAGAAAATAATAAAACAAAGACGGTTAGCTCCATGGTATAATACTGAAACTCGCAAATTAAAGCAAATATCGTGGAAACTTGAGAGGAATTGGCGTTCCACCAAACAGGAAAATACTCAATTTGGCAAGATAGTCTTAAAACTTATAGGAAGGCCCTCCGTAATGCCAGAGCAGCGTACTACTCATCATTAATAGAGGAAAATAGGAACAACCCCAGGTTTCTTTTCAGCACTGTAGCCAGGCTGACAGAGAGTCACAGCTCTATTGAGCCAAGTATTCCCATAGCTCTCAGTAGTTACGATTTCATGAGCTTCTTTAATGATAAAATTCTAACTATTAGAAACAAAATTCACCAAGACCTGCCCTCAACTGGCACCGACTAACTAACTTCAATAATTTCTTCATCTAAACCATCAACCTGCCTCTTAGACCCCATCCCAACTAGGCTGCTTAAAGATGTTTTTAACTTAGTCAGCACTTCTATACTAGATATGATCAATCTTTCTCTATCAACAGGCTATGTACCACAGTACTTTAAAGTAGCTGTAATTAAACCTCTTCTGAAAAAGCCCAAACTTGATCCAGATGTTTTAGCTAACTATAGACCTATATCTAACCTTCCATTTCTCTCTAAGGTCCTGGAGAAAGTGGTCGCCTCCTAATGACCTCC